AGCCACCTAAACTAGATATTGTGTCATTAAAGATTTTACAGTGATTAACACCTGTAGTATTATTCTTTGGATCGGATAACCCTAATTCAAAATAATGATTTAAACAATGCCATATGACCGCTGGATATAGTGTTGGATATTCTTTTTTAAGAACCAATTAAAATGGGGAAGGGTTAATTTTGAATTAAAAATGTACAATACAATTACATTAATATGTATACTATCGTTTTGTTCATAAAATATTTTATATTTCATAATAAATATTAATAATATGCAAAAATGCCATTATAAAAAAAACAATTCAAATTTTTTGGAAAGGGCAAGTTATGCTCACAACTTTTAATAAGTATTTATGGCTGGAGAATGTTTAATATTTTTAAAATAAGTGGGAGAACTGCGTGCCCCACGTGCCATTTCTCCGAGAAATAGCCCTAATTAAATGATACTCCTCGAGACATGGTTATCATAAATTCTTACGCACAACTAATGATGAAAATAATACTAAAGTTTAAGCATGTCTCCTAAACAGTAAAACAAAAATTCATCTAATCACATTCGATTTTTTGGGAGCAAATTAGTTCATATTAAGAAATGCATTTCACAAGCAGTTGATGTAAACTTTGTCAATCACATCACCTGTCTTATTAGGTTAACAATAGAAATGACAAGTGATTTTAAAAGTATCAATAATTCAAATTGCAAAAATTCGATCAAAATATTCGAAAAATTTGATTCATGTAAAACGAATTATTGGTATAATTTGTCAAAACGAAATATTTTAATTATTTATTGAAATTGATTGATAGGTTATTATTATTAATAGAAATACAAATGATAAAGGTATTAATAATTCAAAATCCGAATATTCGATCAATATATTCGAAAAATTTGTTCGAATATAGAACAATTTGTTAAATAAACAAAATATTTAAATAATTTGTCGAAAATTTGAATTATTCGAATAATTCGGTTTGTAAGAATCGAAAAAATTATTTATTCGTATTCGAACAAAATGAATTATGTAATATTCATATTCGTTACTATTCTAAGATTGTTATTTTTTCAAAATAATTTTGTGAAAAAAATAAATTTTACGCCATATATTCGACTAATCAAACGATAATCGTTGTTTATATCAAGTTGAATATTTCAACATGGCTATATTGAGACATGTCACTATTTTGCATTAATAATTTAAATATCAGTAAAAAATAAATGTCAATAGAAAATAAAAATTAATTAATCTCTTCTCATTCATCAACTGGTTTACTCTTACTCTTACATATAAACATTACTACAATAACTTTATAATAACTTTAACTATAAAAAAGAAGTATAAAAATATATAAACATTATTTATGTTCTATTCTTCCGTTATAATAAATGAAAATTATCGATTATCTTGATAACAACTTTGTTACATATCAATTTTATTTATTTTAAAAAAACAATATTATAGTAGTGTGACGAAAGTTCAATTCTCGCTTTGTATTAACTTGGATAATAAATCTGCAAATATTATGCAATTGTGTTTATGTCAATCAACTAAAAAAAATCGAAAAAATATGATAAATAAAAAGAGCTATTGGTTATAAAAAAAATATTTTTAGAAAAAAAAGTTTGACTGACAATAAGAAGAATAAATAGTGTATTTTGTAAAAAAAAACTTTATTTACTCTAATGCACCGCTAGGAATAGAATAGTGCTGATACAAAACCCAGGCAAATTTAAATCTGTGCTTAGACTTTTGGCGCGGTAAAAATGATTCGACGGACATGTAAAGAAAGAAAGAAAGTTTTCAACTTACCTAACCTTTAAAATGTCATAAGATAACGAATTAAGATTTTTTAAAAAAAGGAATTATGAAATAATCAGCTTAAATTATTAACTAGGAAATATTTTCGCAATATATTTTAGAAAAATAAAAATAATTTGGGCTAGAAGACAACTTCTACTTTGGGATTATATTTGTATAGATTCGTTCGCTAAAGTAAATCTGCATCAATATATCTTCAATCACGGACGTCAATATCTCGAAAAATCTTAAATAATCTTTCCAATATAAATTTGGTAACTTTGACAACGAAGCATAACTTTTCCTAATATCTTTAGGGAACTACAATCATTGGTGACTCCGAGGAGAACTATTAGCGCAGACAGATAATATCTCTAGAAATATGAAAATCTAATTTCATATTCATTCACGGATCTATTCTTTATAATATTAGTTTATTTTAAATTCGTAAACAAAAAAAAATTTGCAACAAATGTGCTCAAATATAAATAAAATATTAAGAATTTTAAAAAAAAACAAGAAACAAAAATTGGCCACGCTTTAGACAACCTGATCCCTCGTTTGCAAGGGACTAAGCAATTAAATTTGATATACAGGTATCTACTTCATGAAGAGGAAGGACCTTAGCTCGTTTTAATTGACTTATATTATAAAACTTTCTAGCCAACTAGATATGGCACAATTAGCTACATTAAGTTTAAGTTTCGACGTGACGAAAGCTTGGAAATAAATTGGAGTAGATTAATGTTTCTCTGTTCTCAAAGTGTCCTATCTCCCCTATGTATAAGATCTTATCTTAACAAAATCCTTGATGAAAGGTAAAATAGTTATAAAAATGTAGAATAAAATTAAATATTTAGTTTGTTGATTTGATTGAACAATAATCAGATAATTAGAAGCTGGTCTAAAGTTACCAAAACCCAAGTGTAAGTTTAAAATTTATTTAGCCATAAAAATTTTATTTAAGTCTAGTCGATTGAATTTAGTGCGGGGAAAAATGGAGTATATATGGGCATGTCTCTTGAGATAGTTTTTTTTTCGACCAAAAATATAAAATTATATAATTTATGTGCGGTTATATTTTACATCGTTATTGAACAACATATCAAATTCTTGTATTGTATTATCATATACCTGTAAAAGTAATTTTTGAGGACTATCTAATTTCAAAAATAATAAGTAATAAATTATTTACCACCCCAAAACTAAGATATGGGGGGAAAAAATTTTGATAGAATATGAATTTTCCCAAGAAATAGTTCTGTTATAAACCCTTTAAAAAATGATTTTAATGGAATGTGGGATTGGGGTCATTTTTAAGTTAATAGGACAACTCAAGGAATGTTCAACTAAAGGAAATTTTTTAATTTGGATGAAATATATTTAAAAGACAAGTATATGAAATAAAGAGTTGAATTAAAAAATTTTGATATAATAAAAATGGGTTTTGACCAAATTTAATCATTTTTATTAGTAACTTGTCAAGTATGATAAGACATTTTAATTTTTACATGTTAATTTTTAATTAAATATTTTATAAATAGTATTTTATCTTATATGTAAAGATAATTAAATTTTAACTCCCATAATAGTAATAAGTGTCTCTGCTCACCCTTCCCCGGGTGTGGTTCACAAGTTTCTAAAAATATTTTTCGGGAATTAAAATTTTGAAAATTATTAGGTATATATTGAATCTACTATAAAATTATAATTAAAAATGTCAAAGGACCTTTAAGGTTTTAAGGCTCGGCGAGACTTCAGTCTCCCCTAAGCACAAATAAAAGCGGGATATAGATCGCTACATTATTATTTATTACCAATGACGGTGCCGATTAGCACTAGCGGTTTGAAAAGAAGGGCTATCGTTATGGAAGGGACCCATGAGGACAGGCCCCCTGTAAAAAAATTTCGGCTCCCATGGCCCCTCGATAGAATTTTTAGTTCTACAAATGACCATTTTTTATTCCTCTGCAAAACGACACTTGATGAATTCGTCAGTTCTTATGATGATTCTTCTCACCTCTTCTTGAACATGGCAAGTTAATCAATATAAGCGAGATTTAATTTATCAAACAATTACGATAAATTATAGATATTGCTACTCCCTTCTTATCACGCGATGTTATCTAACGTTAATTAGACTAATACAATACATAAAACTATTAATATAATATTAAAAAATTGAATTCTAAAATGAAGGGGTTGAATACTTTTTCAAAATTTCCTAGTAGAGTTTAAGATATTACAGATGGCAAACTATTTCCTGCCACGCGATCATACTTAAAAATTAATTATACTACATATCAAATATTAAAATAATATTATATTAAATATTTAAAGATATCCGAAGATTTTACGAAGAGGACGAATATTATACTATGTAGAGGGCGAATATTATTTTAAAATTTGCTAATGGGGTACAACTGATTTATCCTCAGACAAACTATTTGTTTTATTACAAAAAAATATTGGCCCTCCCAAATAAACAGTCCCCCCCCCCCTCACTAGATATTCGACCACCTGAGAATGGTGAAGCCTCCCAGACCTTTTTGGGCAGGTTCTAAAAGAACTTTCTTTTTTTCTAATTTTTATTTGATGAGGTATGTGGATAAGGAACCTAATGGCTAAATCACTGGTTTAGGAGGATGTTGAAGTTCCTCATCGGGTAATAACAGGTGTCACTTAAAAGTCATATTTTTACAAAATCTTATTGTATAATATTGTAATTGGTGACCTTCGAGAAACGCGTGGATTCTGGTTTTTATCCTAAATACAATTGAATTTTTTGGAAAAAAAAAATTTCCTCCTAAAATTAGGCTATCAACTTTTTAAATAGGTTTCACAAGTCAGTACTAGATAATTTATTAAATATAGAGCAATTTGCAACGAAGACTTGATGGCACGTGTTTATATATAATGAATTTTTTAAATAATTTATTAATATTTTAAACTAAAAAAATCTTATAATTTTTTCAAAGTACCTTGAATTGATTATAAATAATTTTCATAATAAGGATAGAGCTTATATATTTTTTAAATGAGATGATACTGTCTTTTTTCAATACTAATTAGATTGAAAGTAGACATTTAGTTTTTTTAAAAATCCTTTCGTGTCTTTGAAAATTATGTGACTAATAAAATGAGAAGCTACAAAAATACCATTTATATAATATAAAGTTAGAATCAATAGGAAAAAATATATTACCTTTTAGAATGAGCGGAGAAAATTTATTAGATTGCGAAGAATTTCTCAAAAGATTGGGATCTTCCGTCATTTCGGTGAGACTAATCATTGGCGCTTTTTGATTTATTAAATCCGTGTCCATGTAAATAATAGGTTTCCCGGACAGTGTTAAAAGTAGATCTACGCTCTTTCTCTGTTGGATGTAATTTTCATTGTCGCCTTGCTCTATTGTTGTAGCTTCCAGGAAATTTGCGCGATTATTATTATAATAGTTCATATGTTGATTTGTCTTAGGACTCGGGTAGGAATAATGATGGCTGCTTAATGGGTTTAAGTCATGGTCATTAGTACTTAAAATTCTTTTGGCATTGGTTTGACAAGATGTATTTATTGCTTTAGAAATATCATTTTCTTCAGTGCTAGATCTGTAAAAAATATTGTTTGGTGTATAACCAGTATCCGAAGTTATCGTTAAATGAGCATTTGGGCTATTATAAACTAAAGAAGGTGCTTGAGTTAACGAGCTAGGTAATCTTAGAGATGAAAATTCTGAAGAAGATAATTGATTGGATAAAGTGTAGTTCCAGGATGAATTACTAGCAATACCAAATGATCTAGTATCGTAAATTTTATCTGGTGGATTAATTATAGTACTAGACGTTTCTTTTAAAGATTTTTCAGTTTTATATTCATTCAAGTAGTGGTTAGATTTATTTAGATACACTGGCCCCTTTTCGGAATGGAAATAAGCAGAGTTGGTGGTATCATTATGATTTTGATAAGTTGTTGAATATACTTCGTGTACCGTTTTTTGGACGTTTTCATATTTTAATTTTTTATGATTATTTACCTCACTGTCATCAAACGTATCCTTAGATACATTTCTACAAATTGAATAGCCCATATCATTGGTAATGTTATCTGAGCTAAAGTCCGATATAATGGAATTCGGAAACTCTCGATTTATTTTGTCGTAACCATTTGAATCATGTTTCATGCAATTAGTTTTTGGTGGTATTAAATAAGGGTGAAAGGACATGGAGGAGTTTCGGAAATTGTATAAATTATGTTCATAGTTAGACAAATTAGGAATTAGACCACTTTCTTTAGTTGACAAATTCCGTAATACCCTATTTATTGAAGATACCTATGATATAAAATTTAAAACAAAACCATAACAATTATTATATCATTTAAACCATGATCACTTAATAAATTTTTTGTTATATTAAGAAGTTAATTACATAAAAATCCCTTATTTAATTTATTTAATAATATATTACGCTAGGTATGTTTTCTGCGTTACAGATGCGTTCAGATAGCAATCGATCCCTTATTTCCCAAGCAAATATGGAAGGGCATTCCTGCTTGAACCTAGCTATATGATCAACAACAGTGGATGTGGCAACTCGAGGTTTGCTTCCGCCTATTGCCCTAGGCCTTATGGAACCCGTTTCGTAATATCTTCCTAAAATTTTGCTTACGCATCCATTTGATACTTGTAAAATTCTCGAGATATCACAAGGGCGAGCCCCTGAATGCGCTAGTTCTATAATCTTTTGTCTGGTGGCATCTGGTAATGGTCTACCATTCACAAATATACCACCTAGTTGATTGATACCACTATGACCTATCGTATTATTAAATAATTATACTAAGGTTATTTATAAAAAATAGCAGTTATAATTATCGAAACCAGTTAAGTATTCAAATGGCATTTGACTTTAAAATATTTTCATTATATTATTTTATATTTATATTATACAATTACATAAAACTATAAGTCCTACACTAATGATGATTGCGATGTGGAAATATAATAATTAACAATAAAAATAATCCTTTTTCCTCTACCAAATGTTACATTTTTATGTTAAAGACAAAATGATTTTAATGAACATAATTAATCACCAATTTTTTTTAAAAAAAGAAAAATTTAATCCACAAATTTTTAATTATCAAAAAATTTATGATCATTTTATTTATCATATTTAATGTGAATATACTATTTAATCAATTTAATCTTAATCGTTACAATATAGGTCATATGTTTTGATTTTGCAACTAATGAGGTAAAATTAACTTAGTTTTTTTTTCGCATAAAATTAAATCATACATATACATCACCAAACCAAAAGAAATTATATCGCAGCTCCTTTTCAAATTTTTTAATTTCAATTTCTTAAAAAAATATATATGATTATAGTCAAAAAAAATAATTTATTTTGAATAAATTTATTTTGCTTAAATGGAAAAGAGGGGATGCAAGGGAAGATCAAACTTACCAGTTAACCACTTTAAAAAAGGGGTCAGGGGATTTCAATTCGAGTTTAGAAATTAAGTGGGATCTAATGTTGCCAAATTGGTCAGGTAGTACATGTCTTATTTGATCTTCACTGAATTAAATTTAATTAAACTGAGCAAGATTCTGCCCTGAGACCATTGCCTAAGAATAATTAATTTAACAATCTTTTAGACTTTATGACTATAAAAAAAATTATTCGAAAAATTCATTAAAAAATATTAGATATAATTATATTATTATTATATATACCATAATATTATATCGCAATTATTTTATCATTTTTACAAAATATTATAATTGTGGTAATTTAGATAATTTATATTATACTATTTATAAAAAAAATTCATATTATTAAAAATAACTCATTATCAAATTTTGAAAGAAAATTGAATATAAAAAACAATTATATAATGATATTATTATACCTTTGTGTGGCATTGATCTAAAATGATAAAGTTTGAGAAACTTCCTTTGATGGGTCCTATAATAACATTTTCTAGCAAAATTTTTGATACCAATCTATTTTTATATAAAAGTATTCAGTTAATATGTCAATTTTAATTTTGAAAAAATAAAATATTATATCTTAACAGGGGCTTCTACACCAGTGGGGGGGGGGTATGGCTCTATCATCACTGAAATTAGAGTGGGGTAAGTATATTTATGGCGACATTATGGTCATTGAATAAAATTAAAGAAGAGTAGGGGGTGGTTTTGTTCTGACCAGACTTTGAAATGGGTTAAAGTGGGTATGGGGTGATCTTGGGCAATTCTGGCCACATCCTACTTTGTGCTAAAAATTCATATTAAATTTATTTAATTAAAACAGTCTTTAAATCTAATATATGCCACGCAGTAAACTAAAGTCGTTAGGAGAGTGCGCATAAAGGTTCAATCCCCTTAAAACTTTGAAGTGCCCCGAAATATATTATTTATATGTTTTTTTATGCAAATCTTAGGTAAAATTTTTTGTACCAATTGTAGATAGATATTTCTTTTTTTTGACAATTTTATACCTATTTTTTTTTACGAATATTGGAAATTTAAAGCCACCTCAAGTTTAAAAAAAGCTAGAAACGCCACTCATGCCATAGGCAAAACTATGGCTACTTATCTCTCTACCACTTATATATGCTTTTAAAATATATAATTATATTATAACAACCAAAAAAGGAAATAATGTCGAATGTATTATATCCAGGGAGTATAGGCCCTGCCAAAACTAGCTCGGAAGCCAAATTATAGTACCATTTTGAAAATCCAGGTCGGGCTTAAATTTTTTAAAGAAAATTATAAATCTGAGCCAGCTCGATCAAATTTTTTATTAATAAATTAAACTAAGATACCAATTCAGCTAAAAAATCATATAATGGAGCAAATATTCATATCCTGCTCATATTTTTAATTCCCCTTCAAAACAACTTGCAAAATAGAGCTAAATTTATTTTTAAAAAAATCCGGACCGAACCAAAATATTATCCAAAAAATTTCGTCCGAGCTTGAAAATTTTTTATTTTTTAAATCATTTTAACCTCTGCAGGTCTCCGATATTATCTGTATTATATTTAATAATAAATAATTTAGAATAATAACTTTTTAATAAAAAGAAACATTAGAACAAGAGGGCTGCAGAAGTATAATTTTTAAATTTGGTCAGATCTGAGATGTTTTTTTAAAAAAATTTCTAATAAAGAGCAGAATTTTAAAAAAAAATAATTTTTTTTCGGATCTAACAGATTTATCATTTTAAGGCCGGACTGGATTTTTAAATTATACCTTATGATTAGCATAATATTGTGCACCTATAATCCTAGATGTTTAGTCTTTCATAACTTTTTAAGAAGTGGGGAAAAGTTTATAGAATAATTTTTTTCAATAAAAGTAGATGTTTGTAGCTCAAAAAACCACTTTGATAATAGTATATAAATATTTATATATTAAAGGTTTTGATTTATGAATTTTATTTCCCTAAGATACAGTTACGTCATTTATTCAATTCAATTCAAATAAAATAATATTTAAATTGGAAAAAAATCAATGTATTTAAAAAATTATATAACTATATTTTGGTATCTAATATATTTGGAAAGGACTTTTTAAATTTTTACTTATATATAAATTTTTTTACAAATAATCTAGAAAAATTCTCTTAACGATTGATTTATTTCGTAATCGAAAACTTTCCTTATTCATTTATATACTTTTCCTAATGGGATTAGGAACCCGTGTAATACCCTATTTAAAAAAAATTCACCTGTCTTATGATAAGAAAGCAACCTGTTATTTATTAATAATTAATTTACTGGAATGTGCCCGGGCTTTAATTATTTTTGAATTGTCAATGATTTTTATTATATAATTATTATTATCATATCATCATGGTTGGTTGGAATATATCCACGTTTCTTGATCATGCAGAAAAAAATTTTTTTTTTTGTTTAAATAAGGAATGTAGTCAAGTAAGTCGCAAACAACTGTAGGAGAATATAATCTTCTTTCCTTTTCGAACGAATTTTTTTTCATTTCATTTCATGTTTGAATGAATCCCTAATCCATTGGAAAGATGAAAAAAAAAGTTTTTTTTAATATTATGAATTAAATACACTATATTTTTCAAATTTTTCTTATATCATATAAAATAAATAAATTTTTTGTATTATATTATTAATATATAAGTTATAAGTATTAAGAAAGAAAAAAAAATGATAAATTAAAATTATGATTATATATATATTTTTTTTAATTTTTTCGTTTTTTGGTCCACTGAATTGGAAAATAATTCCTTATATTTTATAAAGTTATATATAAATTATCTATATCTATCTTATTATATAAGATAATATAATATAATGTATAATATAAATCAGCGTTTTTTAAATTTATATATATATAAATTCATCATTATTTTTATTTATAAAATCTTTGTTAAATTTTTTGAGAAAAAGTATTTTGTAAAGTTATTCTAAAAATATTTTATATTAAATTCAAAAAAGATTAACAGGTAAAAAAAAGAATATTTTATAAGAATTTGTTAGGAATTTTTAATATATTATATCATACATATTTAATAATTATTTTTTTTAATATTAATATTATTCATAATTTTATATTGTTAAATAGTAGATATATATATATATAATATTCACAATTTTATATTTTCAAATAAGTTATATATAATATTCATAATTTTATATTTTTAATTTTAAATAAGTATATAATATATATAAATTTTATTATAGTATTTAAATAAGCCCCTATGTAACGATTCTCTAAAGAAAGAAAGAAAGAAAGAAAGAGAAGAAAGAAAGAAAGAAAGAAAGAAAGAAAGAAAGAAAGAAAGAAAGAAAGAAAGAAAGAAAGAAAGAAAGAAAGAAAGAAAGAAAGAAAGAAAGAAAGAAAGAAAGAAAGAAAGAAAGAAAGAAAGAAAGAAAGAAAGAAAGAAAGAAAAGAAAGAAGAAAAAAATATACAACTAATCTTATTTGATTTTTGAGTATAAAATTTTGATAAGGATTTCAAATATATTCCTTTTTATTCACTTATTTTGAAGCCTAGAGAAATTAATATTTATATTAATAATAATATAGTATCCTTCAAATCTCATAATTAAAAAAATAAATTATTATTCTATATTTTTTGAACGTCAATTTTATTTATATTGATTTTTATGATTGACTTTGCAGAAATATATTTTATTTAAATTTGACTAATATTTTATAAGTGTTTTTGCAAAGCCGTACTAAGCCTTTTTGCTGTCCTGAGCATAAAACCAATTTATTTAAGCCCTAAGAAAAGAGAATCGAAATCTAAATTAGCAAAGACAGGAAATCCAAATCGGCTAAAGGTAATTATAATAAATTAGCAAAAACAGTAACTTATTCAATATTAGCAAAATTTAAATAGCAAAAAAAAGGAAGTAGATGCGCTGGAACTAAAATTTGAGAGCCTCGAATAGTTTTATTTTTGGCAATCCGGAATTGCTTCCTTACCTCTTACGCCGTTTGCAGGGAACATTTTTAAAATTCTAGACTGTTTTTAGAAGGTTGTTAATTTTTTTAAACCTTGCTGGAAAAAAGTTGATGTTAACCTTGAATACGAAAACAAATTATAACTAAAATAAAATAAAAATTACTTAATATATAATAAATAAAAATATTTTTAAAAAAATCCTGACTCAAATAAATGATTATAGATTTGTTAATTGCTATATAGAAATAAGGTAAAAATTTTTTCATACTTTTATACTATCCAATATTTTTTTCCAACTTTGAGAAAACTCCTCTTTAGTTTTTTATTTATATAAAATCATCAATTTCTTTTTTATTTAAAAAAGTACATGAGAAAATCCCAAAAATATAAGAATAAACAATATATGAGCACATTTAATTCTTAAATCAAAATGCATAAATAAAATAAGTTTAAAAACTTAGTGGAGACCGGGGGATAGTGTTTGGCTTGTATTTTCTTCTAAAATAGTTTTAACTAATATATTTTAAGATTTGAAACTTAAATCAAATATGTATTTTAATAAAATGCTAAATTCATTCTAAATATATTTAGCTCCAAATTGTTCATAATAAATTTTAAATTGTAAATTAAATTTTAACATACTAAAAATTACATTTTCACGAATAAATTTTTTTATAAAAGTTTTTAGGATTATAAAACATCTCAATTTTATTTTATCATATATAAAAATATTGATAGCAAACATGCTAATTGAATATCCTATAACGTTTGAAGAGGAAAATGTATTAAGTTTAAGTAGGGAGACCCGGGATCTTATTAGCCTGAGTCTTGTGTGCCTTAGGGTTTTCTTCAGAGTAATCAACTCTAATAGTTATTTTTTAACCAAATATGTATAACATTAACAACAGTATATGCATAAGCGGCTATAATTTTTTTTATATCGGATCACATATATATGAGAAAATCATGGCCAGGCTCGTACCCGTTCTAACTGGGCCGGGTCTATTATTAAAAAATAATTTTGGTTAGGTTGTGTCGGGTCTAACATTTTTTAAAATTTAGGGTCGGGCCTGGTCGGGATTAAATTTTTAAATATAATATCAATTTATTTTGTCAAATAAATTGATATATTTTGAAATTCTTGCAAGAAAAAAAAATAGATTTCTCTGTATTTAGATAAATTCGGGCCTGGCCGGGCAGACAAATAATTTTTATTCCGGGTTGGGCTTTTCGGGACAAATAAAAAAAATTATTTGAAATAGGTCTGGGCCGGATAAATTTTTAAAAAAAAAGATCGGACCGGGCTTGAAAAATTAGGCTCAATGAGGACCACTAATATATATATCGATCAATATTTTGCAGCACAAAGTATTCTTTTTCTAATTTATTTTTCGGAAATATTAATACTGTTAAAAAAGTATAATATTTCAAAAATAATGTTTAGCATAAAAGGAAATATATGGATGACTTTTGCCATTTTGAGCTTGCATGCTCTCCGGTTTCTCTTATACATAGTCCCCTATTGAAAGGTATTTAGATGGAATGCCTGTCAATGGCGCTGACATCAATTATATACACTTTTAATATGAATCGACTAGATTAGTATTGACGTAAAAATATTAGAAATATGAAAAATGAGATTTGGAATAAATAACAAAAGTAAATGCACACTTTTTTATTTAGATATATAAAAGCTTTAAAAATTCCAATAATTAGAATTTAGGAAAGTTTATTATTCTATTTTATAGGCTGACAATTTTTCAGATTGATAAAACATGGATTAATATAATTTTAAAGTCCGTTGGAAAAATAGAGGGCATATTGATTTGATCCAGGGAACGTTAGTAGGGGAGACCAGGATAATGTTCCTGGGGTAGGCAATTTCTTCTCAAATGATTTAAAACTAATAAACTATGATATTTTAATAAACCACAATTGTATTTTAATAAGATACTTCAATGGTTCTAAAAATGTTAAGCAGAAATATGAATAAAAGTTTTAAATGCATTAACCTTTTAATTTTTTCCATTTTTACTAATAAATATTTTTATAAAAGTTACTCAGATTAAATATCATTCTAAATGATAAAGCAAACTCAATTTTATCATGTATAAAAATAATGACAATAGTATAAGATTAAATTTTAATTAAATGTGAAGACCTGTGGCAAGTTTTGGCCGTGTGCGTAATAGCTATTTTTAATCAGATTTGAATAAATGAACCAACTATATTTATGAGAACATTAGAAGCCACGAGTTTGTTTAGACTCACGAAAAACAAAATGAAAGATTGACTTATTTTTGGCAAATTATATGACAGTTTTAAGTGATAACAAGTTCTTCTGGGTGATGAACCTAGCAAATTTAACATATTATACAATTTATTTTTATCTATTTACTCACGATTAATATAAAAATTAATTTTAAAATTTAAAAATAAAGAAGTGCTATGACATGCAACGCGGAAGTAAAAGATACCTCCGATATTTTTCATAATTCTTGAATTTTGAGTTTATTAAATATTATATTAATAAATAAACGAAAAGTTTTTTTTTCTTTATAAGTTAGTTTGTGGAATTGTTAAAGATTAAATTTTAAAAAGCAGGACTATGCGGGACAAAGGCTATCATTTTTATATAGCGCGTTTTTGTGGTAATTTTAGATCTAGGCCATTTTCCTTATACAGACTAATTATTGATATAAGTTTGAGAGTTAACGCTCCCAGAAGACTTCAGACGTGATATTTTAGATTTTACCTAGCTTTTTGTTTAATTGTGGTTGGCAAAATTGATTGAATAATTAATAAGTAAGGTGCGCTAAATACTAACCCAAATCAAATATTTGTACTTCTATATTCTCCATTCTGGCATATTAATTTTTTTTTTTTTTATATTTAAATAATCTACTATAATTCTATTTATAACTCAGTTTTTTTACTAGTTCGCAAAACTACAAAGGCTTTCAAAAGGGCCTAAGATACCATACTCCTCAATGAGAGTTAAAAGACCAGATGATATTAATTTAATACCTTAGTCTAACGGTCTTCCTTTAGCCTAGGATTATATTTGTAATGATTTCTCTGTGAAATCAAAGAATCAAGATTTAATATGTATACAATAAAATTCAGCTAGATTTAAAAAAAAAATAATTTTGGTTATTTTATAAATATTTATTATAATACAAATAAAAACTTGTTACTTTATTTTATAATATCTCATTTCTCATTCATTACTTTTTTTAAATTATAAAAAAATTAATGATTACAACAAATCCCGGGATTTGGGATTGCTGAAACAAAGCTTAAATTTTGCTAAAACATTTTAAGAAAGAAATATAAAAGATTAAAGAATTATCTAATGGCATTAAAATTTCTGATAAGACAATTATTCTAAGATCCTTATTATTTTAACCAAAATGAGCTGGTAACCCCCCCCCCCCCATATACATAGCCAAAGGTTATTGGACTTTCTATTTT